CTTTGGATTAATAGTCTAGTGATAATACCACGAGGCCATCACCTACCCTTTTTTAAGTTGGTATGTTACAAGCATTTGAATTTTAAATGTCTTCAAATTTTTGAGGTAATTGGTAAAACAGAGATTAGAATTTTTTAACACAGCAGTAAAATGTCTGAAAATTTAGTGAAACTAATTCAATCTTAACCTTCAAAAAGGAGTTGGTTGAAAAACTTCAGAGAGAAAATAAATGAAGAGTTAGGACAAAGACAGTTCTTTCTGAGAGCAAGCACAACATTGATGAACTGAATGGCATCCTTCTGTGTTTCTAAATTGAAGAAAGACCATGTTGATCCATCTCCATTTTTCTGTGCAGGAAGACCAGGAAAAAGCTCGTTTTGCTAATATGCCGGCATGGAAGAGAGATATCGTGAAGAAGAAACTGGATGAAGAAAGGTACATGTTCCCGAGACATGAAGAGACACATTAGTCTAAAATTTGAATATAGCTGACACATTTTTCAATGTCTAATTTTATGTCATTTTTTTTTCACTTATCCCCAGGGAGAAAAAGAGGTGAGCGCTCCCTTACTAATTTTCTATGTGAGTATGAAATATTAAACAAAAGGCTTCATTAGTAAAAAGGTAAAGTCTATGTCTTGAATTTTTAAAATAATTGTATTTCCTTCCTGTGCTAGCCCATAACACACCAACAAGGAGAAAAACACAAGTTGTATTTGTTCACAGAGGGTGAAGATTTGACTGTGTATTAGTTTTATACCAATTAATTTCAATGGATAAGGCACAATGATTTGTGCCTTAATATTGTGAATTTCTAAACTAAAAGCAGATTTGTCAATGGTCATTTTCGTTCCCAGGTCATTGAATTCAAGGTGACTGGAAGAATGAATGACTCCATATTTACACAAAAACATCATTTTCAATTATTATACTGTCCAGGTAACAGCTAGAGAGGGGAAAGGCTAGCTAGTACACATGAAAATATCGGATAAGGAAAGGAATAAGCCATGCTGGGTGTCACAGTGAACTGGATTTAATGAAGCCCACTGGAGCGCACTCTGGTGGGTGGACCCAAATATTCATGGAGGAGGCCAAAACCAAGCTAACAGCCTCCCCTCCCATTAAACCAGCAGCTGGAAATCGGTTGACACAGTGAACCCACCCATTATTAATTAGACTTATTAACAAACCACTATTCTCATTAACCCTGAATTCACCGGTGTTGTTTGAGAGTCTGAAAGGGTTAATACTAAGCAGTGCCTTAAGTACCACCCACTATGATGATGTCATTTAGACTTATGGGCAGGACAGTTCAGGATCATGAAGGAATGGGAGTTAATATCCAGGTGCTCCTCACGCTCTGTAACAATGTCCCTCAGATCTATGTAATCTTTTACTAATTGCCCATGCATAGTAAATGATTTCTTGTTCAATACAAGACCCATAACAAATAGGAGCAGAATTAGAACATTTGGTCCATCGAGTCTGCTCTGCCATTCAATCATGGCTGATAATGTTTCTCAACCATATTCTCCTGCCTTCTCCCCCATAACCCTTGATCCCCTTACCAATCAAGAACCTATCTATCTCTGTTTTAAATGCATCAGTGACATGGCCTTGACAGTTCTATGCAGCAATGAGTTCCACAGATTCACCCCACCCCCTCCCCCCTACCTCTAGTTGAGGAAATTCCCCCTTATTCCCATTCTAAAGCGCAACCCTTCACTCTGAGACTGTGCCATCAGTCCTAGTCTCTCCACTTGTCACTGGAAAAGGACCTCCTTTTCCCTACAATCTGCCTTCTGCCAGTCAGCCAATACTCTATTCACGCCAGTACCTTGCCCCTTGCACCATGGGTTCTTTGCATACTTAGCAACCTCCTGTGCATCATATTTATCAAGGGCTTTCAGGAAATCCAAATTGATCCCGTCCACTGGTTCTCCTTTCTCTACCATCTCCTCAACTATCTCCTTTAGTACTCAGGGATATAGTCCATCTGGTCCGGGAGATATATCCATCTTCAGAGCTTTCAGTTTCCTCAACATCTTCTCCTTAATGATGACCACTACACTCACCTCTGCCTCCTTCTCTTGAAGTTCTGGCATGCTGCTGGTGCTTTCCACTGTGAAAAATGATGCAAATTACCCATTCAGCTTCTCTGCCATTTCTTTGTTCCCATTATTACTTCTCCAGCCTCATTTTCCAGTGGTCCAATGTCCACTCTTGGCTCTCTCTTACCTTTAGGTATCTAAAAATAACTGTTGAAATCATCTTTTATATCACTAACTAACTTACTAAGGTTTTGCAGTGGATCTGTAGCTCGGGTTGTGGGTGTTACACCCCAACTAACTTACTGTTGTATGTGATTTTCTCTCCCTGTCCTGATTTTTTTCCAGTTATCCTCTGCTGGTTTTTAAAGGGATTCCAAACCTTTGGCCTCCCATTAATCTTTACCACATTGTGTGCTTTTTCTTTTGCCTTTACCCTGCCTCTGACTTCCCTTGTCACCCAAGGTTACCTCGTTCCCCCCTTAGTATGTTTCTTTTTCTGGGGATGAATTTCTGCTGTCTCCCGAATTACCCCCAGAAACTCCTGCCATTGCTGTTCCACCACCTTCCCTGCTAAGCTCCCCTCCCTCATGTCCTTGTTGTTACCATTACTCAATTGTAACATTATTACATTTGATTTCACCTTCTCCCTTTCAAACTGCATGCTGAATTTTATCATATTACGGTTACAACTCCGTAAAGGTTCTTTCACTTTAAGCTCACTAATCAAGTCTGCCTCATCATACATCACCAAATCCAAATTTGCCTGTTCCCTGGTGGGCTGTACCACAAGCTGCTCCAAATAATCTTCTCAAACATTCCACAAATCTCTTTTCTTATGATCTGCTACCAACCTGATTTTCCCAGTCTACCTGCATATTGAAGACCTTTCTTATATGCCTTTACTCTGTCCTGATTTATTTTCTTCCTCACATCATGACTACTTCTCAGAGGCCTGTGTACAACTCCCATCAGCGTCCTTTTTCCTTTGCGGTTGCTCTTCACGACCTACACAGATGCTATGCCTTTGATTTAATTTCCTTTCTCTTAACAAGGCAACCCCACCCCTCTGCCCATCTGCCTGTCCTTTCAATAGGACATGTATTCTTGGATATTTAATTCCCAGCCTTGATCCCCTTGCAGCCATATCTCTGTGATACCCAGAACATTGTACCTGCCAATTTCAATCTGTGCTATGAACTCATTTACCTTGTTTCTATTACTACATGTGTTTAAGTAAAACACCCTCAGTCCTGCATTGACTGCCCTCCCTCTCAGTGTTGTCGCCTTTTCTGCTGTGCCTGAAGTTAGATTCCTGACTCTTTCCGTACTCTCTGGCCTGTTACTTGTTCTGGAAACTTTAATAATCACTGCTGAGCCCTCCTCACCTTTAACTTTTTCCATCATTTTCCATGCAACTGAACCCCCCCCTCGCCACTCGTTAGTTTAAGGCCCTATCCATAGTCCGAGTTATGTGATTTTCCAGCCTCTGGATCCAGCATGGTTCTCATTGGAATAGTTCCCTCCTTCCTCAGTACTGGTGCCAATGGCCCATGAATTCAAACCCATTTCAACCAATCTTTAAACCATGAGTATACCTCTTTAATCTTGTTGAACCTCTGCCAATTTGCTGAAGGCTCAGGTAGTAATCCAGAGATTATTACCTCTTCTGAATCTGCTTTTTAAATTTAGCCCATGGCTGCTGATATTTCCTCTCAGCAGAACCCCAGAAACATACTAGATTCTTAGAGGACTTGACAGGGTAGATGCAGAGCTTTCTTCCCCTTGTGGGAGACTCTCAGTCCAGAGCGAACAATCTCAGAATAAGGGGCCAACCATTTAAGACAAAGATGAGGAGGAATTTCTTCTCTCAGAGGGTAGTGAATCTGCAGTTTTTTTTTTAATTGCAGAGTGCTGTCAAGGCTGGGTGATTAAATATGTTTAAGGATGTGATATGCTTAAATTTATCAATAAGGGAATCGAGGATTATGGGGAAAAGGCTGGAAAGTGGAGTTGAGGATTATCAGATCAGCCGTGTTCTCCTTTAACACCAAAGCAGACTCAATGGATTGGATGACCAACTTCTGCTCCTGCACCTTATGGTCTTACCCATCCTGTCTTCACTCACCTCTGGCCTGGGTCTCTGGTTGATACTGGGCCCTTATTGGGTGCATTATCGGCAGTATCCACTGCAATTGGATGGTACTGACAGGCAATGGAGAACTGCCAACCTCTCATGTGCCAGCCGCTCCCAAGGTGGTGGTGGTGGTGGGGTGGGGTGGGGTGGGGGTGGGAGCCCGAATCCTGCCTCCAGGGTCACACCTCATGGATTGGGAGACAGCAGGGTTCAGCATTGATCACTCGAGTAACTGTTGAGCATTTAATTGGGTCAGGCCTGCTCCACTGAAGAAAGCTGGTCTCATCTCAGTTCTCTAGCTGGTTGCCAGAGCCTGCCGTGGGAATACCGAATCCTGCATAATATTCCACAGCTACATAGTAATTGCTTAACAAAAATAACCCAATGTCCATCTAGCGAGCTTTCCGAATCGAAGTGGCAGCATGACGTCATGACAACAGAGTTGTTGACTAATCATTGCAATTGATCTCTATCAATCGGTCCAGATAGGAAGTGAGGAAAACCCCAATGAGGGAGAACTTTGGGAATCATAAGTCCAAAGTCAACCCATTTCTCCTAGCTCCAATGCTGAGTAGCCTTCAGAGGTGCAGAGATGCAAAAATGATGCTTGACTGAGGGACCCCGAGGATATTAACTCTGTAAAACTGTAAAAGATTTCAGGAGAGGAGGGGAGAAAATTACTGGGAATATGAATGGGGAGATGGGAGGGAAAATTATTTTTCAAGGTTGTTGATCAAGAGGAAGTAATGAAAGAATTTCAGATGCAGTGGATGCATCTATCTCAGAGGTACTCTATGTAACATTAGTGTTGCATTTTAACCTTGACATTAGGAAAGAGGAAGAGAAGTTGAAGAAGGATGAAGAAGATAAACTGAAGGAACAATCAGAGATACTGCGGAATCTTGGTTATGATGAATCAAAATTGGCACCGTGGCAACGACAACTCATCCTGAAGAAAGGAGACCAAGCGAAGCAAGAATAATAATCTCCCTCGGAGCAATCTTCCATTTCTGCTGTAGCGTAGATTGTGCTGTTCAGTAGGAGGCAGTTCGGAATGGTTAATTCATTGCTATACATGCTGGGCCCAACACAGCAGAGTCCATTGCTAAATAGTAGCTTTCTTCAGATCATCTCACACCTCTGTAAGTTACAAGCCAAAATTCACAGTTTGAGGAGATTCTTTCATGCTTTTATCTGTACTTGCATTTCTCACATGTCCTATTATCCCCAATCCTCAGCATTCCCACGCTAATTGCTTGAGCACAATGTTTTGTTGTGGGATGAGTGATTGACAGCTGTTTACTGTCATGGTGATAATAGTTTATGCAAGCAAAACCCTGATCAAAACTTAGTTTTGAAAGAATGTATTCCAGGTATAATTAATCCTTTTTCCATCTGTAAAATGATTTTAAATTATGGGGTATGTTAGATAAACACACTACTGGCCTAAAGTACAGTGTTGTGCATTGAGTGTGTTGGATAATTAATTTAGTTTGTGTTTGTTAAAGAGAAGGTTAACAAGAGTAAGCATTGACTCAGTTGGTGAATGAATTGCCCAAGTTTAGAACACAGCAAAAGAAATTAGCATGGTCCCTGGCTCAGTCTGTGGTGTGTCAGCTCATCTCAGCTGGGTCTGAGAGACATCACACCGCTAAGGTTAGATTCAGGAAAAAGTCAGAAGTCACACAACGCCAGGTTATAATCCAACGAGTTTATTTGAAGTCATGAGCTTTCGGAGCACTGCTCCTTCGTTAGGTGGACTTCACATGAAGCAGCAGCAGCGGTCTGAAAGCTTGTGATTTCAAATAAACCTGTTGGACTATAACCTGGTGTCGTGTGGCTTCTGGCTTTTATCCACCTCAGTCCAACACCAGCACCTCCACATCATAGATTCAGGGAAGGCAAGGAGATGATCAGTCAGTGAGGTTCCCAATTCTTGATGCCTATTGCAGACAGAGCTGTAATCCCTGCCATAGTCTATCACATACCCCATTAAAACCCATCATGAATAGGAACACAGTCATGCATGAACTAGATGGGGAGTAAAGCTGAGCTGTACAATTGCATCTGGCATCTTAGCTTTGGTAAAGAGGGTGTTTGGTGTCTGTGGATCCATACCCCTATATCAACATTACAGGGCAGGGAAGAGAGATATACACCACATAATACACTTCTTAACTCAGTTTAGCAGACAGAACATGAAACAGTTGAGTCCATATCAAAACCTTACTGAACAGCACTACTTACTTTGTTAGCTGCCTGATAGAGTTATTCAAAAGAATGGTTTATCTCTGAGCAATGATGACATGATAGACAAACACAATTGCAGGAACTCCTATCTGGACCCTGGCACATTGCCTATCTATCAATGTTGTACATAATCAAAGAATGACCACTTATTTTTCTTATGTGTAGCATAACTGTTCTCCAGACATTAATGTGCACACAGGGGATATATCTCTTTTAAAGATATGCTCATGATGTTATTTACAACACAGTTTGTGAATGTTATATATTTTCTTGGATGCCATAACAATGTAATGGAAAGAAGCAGTACAGATATCATTGCCATTAGCCTATTTTCCACAACTGAAGATCTTTCTGCATCTTTTTATTTTGCATCCTTGTGCAGTTAGTTTCTCAGCAGCTGTGTCCCTTGCCCAAAATGTCTCGACCATTTAAAATAAATCAGTGAAATAATTTTCTGATTACCATTTTGTTTTTGCACCACCATCATAGAGTCGTAAAGTCATAGAGTTGTACAGCACGGAAACAGACCCTTTGTCCAACTCATCCAGTTCTGTACGCGGTACACCAGGTGTGGTCTCACCAAATGCATTGCACAATTGTAGCAAGATTCTCCTACTTAAATGTCCACCCACCTTGTAATAAATGTCAACATTCTATGTGCAACTCCTACTTACTTGATGTATCTGCATGATCAGAGGTATAGATAGCGTGGACAGCCAGGGACTTTTTCCTAGGGTGGAGGTATCTATTACGAGGGGACATAGTTTTAAAATGAGTGGAGGTAGATATAGGGGAGATGTCAGAGATGGGTTCTTTACTCAGACAACGATAGGGGCATGGAATGCATTGCTGGAGAGGGTAGTGGAGTCGGCCTTATTGAGGCATTCAAGGGACAATTAATAGGCATATGATGATAGTATAAGGTAGGGGTGGAGGTTAGATAGACCTTAGGTTTAGAGTAAAAGTTCGGCACAACATTGTGGGCCGAAGGGCCTGTACTGTGCTGTATTGTTCTGTTCTATTGACTCTGACTCCTTCATCTGCAGTTCTCACTATCCCCACTGAAACACAAGACCTGGTCAATAAATAGATGATGGTTGTGTTGTCTTGCTGGACATGAGTTGGCTGCGGTGTTTCCCCACTTTTCAAGAATGAGTGCATTTCCAAATGATTTAATTTACTGTAAAGAACTTTGGGAATGTCATGAAAGGCAATTTACAAATGGAAACATTTCTTTTGAACTCAATTGATGAATTAGACTTGATGGGCCAAATGGCTTCCTTCAGTGCTGTATTACTGTATCAGAGTGGGAAGTGAAGAGATGGTTAAGAGAGGGAACTATTAAAAAAGTGTGCACCTCAGTCAACTGAATCCCAACCTCTCTCCATGCATACAGACACTTGCCAGCAGGGGGCAGTGAATAATGATCAGAAGTAGGATTTATTGTCTCTTAATGCTGTAGGGAATCACCTTGAAACATTTTAGTAGGTTAAAGGTGTTGCATAAATGCAACTTGAGGAGTGGCTGGTTTGCAATGCAGAGTAATGCCAACAGTGTAAGTTCAATTCCCACACCAGCTGAGGTGACTATGAAAGACTTTCCTTTCCAACCTCACCCCTTGCCTGACCCTCAGATTAAACCACCACCCGTCATCTCTCTCTAAGAGAGAGTGGGACTATGGTGACCTTTATAAATGCAACACGTGATTGCAAGAGATTGAAAGAAAAGCGAAAGTCTGGATATTAAAGAGAAGCACAGAAATTCAGCAGGTACGTAGCAAATAATAAAAGCATCTGCTGCAAATTAGCATCTTCCTCATTGGAACAATACACTTTGACAAAGCACAGCTTTCCCAAAGACTGCCTTCAGTGAATACCTGCTCCCCCTGTTGGAAAGGAACAGCATTGACCTAGAAATGAAAACTCTCAGAAAAACAATTGTGAACCAAAGTGGTAACTTTGCACTTCAGCTTAATTGTCAAAATGCAGAATTGGTTCTATTTAGCCTTGGTTGTAAGCCAAGAGAAAGCATGACCACAGACCCCCCCCACTACTAAACATGGTGCAGCCAATATTCCACGTTTGGGGAAATTGTAGGGGTTAGCACACCCAGAGTGAACCACTCCTGATAGAGCCACTTTCTGTCCCTTACTCAGTAAATATATTATGGGATATCACACTGCAGCACCTAATATCTTTCAGTCTCTTTTACAATCGAAGGCGAATTACTTCATTACTTTGCCAATTCCTTTGCTTCAATTGAGGGAAAATATTCAATTTTGAATTATGTGGCTATGTGCTGTCCAATTTTAAGAAAAAATCTGCCTGTAAGAGGTTAACAAGAGTTTTGAACATTGTCCATGAAATAGATGTGACCTTAATCCCTGGTAAAAATATTATCTGTATTACTCCACAGAGTGGTTTCAAAACCCAATGAATGGACTTTCATAGCTTCATAGAACATCTCACTAAGGAACGGAATATTCATCTACTTCTGCACCAATGTTTTCACTGCAGGGTCATAGTGAAGATTTGTAGCTCGGGTGCTGGTTGTAGATGTTGGTGTGTTCGCCAAGCTGGAAGGTTTGATAGCAGATGTTTTGTCCCCTTACTAGGTGACATCCTCAGTGCTATGGAGCCTGCTGTGAAGCGCTGTTGTCTTGTGCCAGTTTGAATTTATATGGTCTGGTTTCTGCTGCTTCTGGTAGGTTCTGGTTCCGGCTGTGCGTTGTAATGGTGTGTATATCGGGTCTAATACAATGTGTTTGTTAATGGAGGCCACGGATGAATGCCAAGCCTCCTAGAATTCCTTGGCTGCCCTCTGTTTGGCTTGTCCAATGATAGTAGTGTTGTCCCAGTTGAAACACATTGTAAAGGTCGGTATATCGGGTCTAAATCAACGCACAGCCGGAACCAGCACCTATTGGAAGCAGCAAAAACCAGACCATATAAATTCAATCAGAGATAGTAGGAACTGCAGATACTGGAGAATCCGAGACAACAAGGTGCAGAGCTGGATGAACACAGCAGGCCAAGCAGCATCATAGGAGCAGAAAGGCTGACGTTTCAGGCCTAGACCCTAGTTTTAAGTGTTTGGCCAAGGCTTGGCTTTGTTTTGTTTTGGGGCTTTGCTGTGGGCTGACCCAGAGTCCCTCTGTTCAGGATATGTCCTGAGTGAGGTAATGCAATTGCTTTCCCTCAAGTGGTGTTCCCCTAGGTCAATCAGACTGGTGAGGGTGTCCACTTCTGTTGGAATACCCTGCAACTCATACGCTCCACTTGCCACGTATACCTAATGACAAAGCCAGCTGTAGTCCCTGTTTGAAGCCCAGTTAGTAGACGCTTTTGCATAGTCACATCATTAACCCCATGTACCAAACAGTCTCTCAGCATCTCATTTAGGGTTAAACAAAAGTCACATGCCTCTGCCAATCATCTTAACCTCATCAAAAATCCCAATGTGGATTCCCCAGTTCTCAAATGCCAACTAAAATCAATAGCGCCTCAGAATGAGAGGAGGCTTGGGCTCATAATATTCCTTAACTAAATCTGTCAATTTTTGAAAGGTTTTAGTATCTGGTGCCTCAGGGAATGTGTGGCTCCTAATAACCAAAATAGCTGCAGGACTACAAGCTGTCAAAAGAATTACTCATTGCTTGTCATTTCCCTGGAAAAATGAATGCATTCTTTCCACGTACTGGGCCCAGTCTTCACTGGCAGGATGCTTGTTCAGAACTGTAACACAGACCCGAACTTTATGCATCACTGAATCTGACCCATGCAAGGCCATTCTTGTGGTTCTGACACCAAACTTTGTCCCTGACGAAACCAAAAGCCAATATTCACCATCAATGCCCCATGAGGTACATTTACAAATCCGTGAGAGCAAATACATCATGTTGCGCGCAGCATTTATGAGGGGCATGCACTTAACAATCCCATCCCTCACTCCTGTCACTTGGAAAGGGGAAAGCTAGAAAGGAAGTAGATAGAGGATTGCTTAGCTAACAGGGAACAAGCAGTTGTGATAGGTTGGTTATGTTCGGATTGGTAAAGTGTAACTAATGGAGCGCTATGGGCTATATCAATGATTTGGATGAAAGGGTTGAGTGTATTGTAGCCAAATTTGCAGACGACACAAAGATAGGTAGAAAGAAAATTGCAGAGAGGATGAAAATAGTCTGCAAAGAGAAACTGGATAGGTTAAGGAAATGAACAAACATTTGGCAGATGGGGTATAACGTGAGAAAATGTGAGCTTCTCTGTTTTTGCAGGAAGGATAGAAAAGCATGATGATATTTAAATGGGGAGGCATTGCAGAGATCGATGATTCTGAGGGATCTGGGTGTCCTTGTAGCTGAATCATAAAAAGCTAGCATGCAAGTGTAGCAAGTAATTTGGAAGACAGATGGAATGTTGGCCTGTAAGGGCCATTGTGTAAGAAAATAGGGAACTGTACAGTTCTGAAGAAGGTCAATGGACCTAAAACATTAAGTCTGATTTCTTTCCACAACTGTTGCTCGACCTGCTGAGTTTTTCCAGCAATTTCTGTTTTTGTTTGGGAATTGTACAGGACTTTAGTGAGACTGCACCTGGAATACTGTGCAGAATTTTGGTCTTCTTAATTAAGGATTCGCAACAGTTCAAAGAAGATTCACTTGCCTGATCCACTGTAGGGATTTCGGGGAAGAATGGGTTTGTCTTAAGAGCAAAGATTCAGCAGGTTAGGTCTCCACTCACTGATGTGTAAAAGAATGACAGATGATCATATTGATACATACAAAATTCTGGGAGGACCTGACAGGGTGGATACATAGAGATGATCTTTCTCCTCGCAGAGAAGTGCTGAACAAGGGGAGACAGTTTTAAAAGAAAGGATCTCCAAATGAAGACTATGGAACTTTTTTTCTGTCAGACGGTCATCAGTCTATGTAATTCTCTTCCCCTGGGAGCTGTGGAGGATAGGCCATTGAATATATTCCAGGTTGAGTTAGATAGCTTTTTAAATCAACAAGAAAGAAAGTCAGGGACCAGGCAGAAAATTTCAGTTAAGGCCCTAATCTGATCAGCTGTAATCTTAACAAATGATAGAGCAGGGTGGCACGGTGCCTCAGTGGTTAGCACTGCTACATCACAGCGCCAGGAATCTGGGTTTGATTCCAGCCTTGAGTGACTGTATGTATGGGGTTTGCACACTCGCCCTATGTCAGCGTGGGTTTCCTCCAGGTGGTCTGGTTTCCTCCCATAGTCAAAGATGTGCAGTTTATGTGGATTGGCCATGCCAAATTGCCCCCATAATGTTCAGGGATGTAGAGGCTAGGTGGATTAGCCATAGAATATGCTGGGTTAGGGGAGATAGGGTAGGGGGCTGGGTCTGGATGGCACGCTCTTTGGAGAGCTTGTGCAAGCCAAATGGCCTCTTTTGTAGGGATTCTATGAGCATGCTTGAGG